CTATTTCCCTCACTGAGCCAAAATAAGGGGCACAAAGTATCGTTTATCTGTGAAGGAAAACACAAAACCGAATTTGAGACGAAATGAACACAATGACGAAGTTTACTCCAGAACTTTCGAATGAGCAGATTTAATAAATTTGATAAAAGTACAAGAGCCGAACTGCTTCAATCAAAAGTCATGATTAAAGCAAATAGATTCAGAGAATTATTTACCTACAACGATTAAAGAGAAAATTTCAAACTATCTTGTTGAGAGAAAGAACACTGTTTAACGGTCAATTGCCTCACCTTACGTGAACATCCATTTATTCCACAAACCTCTGTAATTTCTCCAAATTTCTGCTGTATGACATTAGACAGGGAAACATCCATCTTTTGAATACTTTCTGAAGCATCTGTGGGCGCAGAAATTGGCAGAATACGTCAATTTTCTATTCGAAGAAGCATTGCACCGCAACTTCAAGAATCTCTTGTCACACTGTACTTAGGTGTGAGACGAATGTGAATGCATAATTAATTTCGTAATTCTCATCGCACCTTTGGCATACTGTATGAATTAATTTCTACTAAATACCTCTCGGTCAAGTAAAAAAAAAAGTGTTGCGCTTTTTAATATTTTCTTTCGAATGCTTTAAAAGTCCCAACAAAAAACCCAACAGTTTTGGCCATCCTGTTACCCTACTTTGACCATGCAAAGAAATGACAGGTAACACATTGCAAAATTTGCATTTTAAAAAATACAGAAAAAAAAAGAAACCAAAGTTTTGGAAATTGCTTCCCCAGGCTTTTTAAAAGGACATTTCTGCAAGAGATATTCATCCTCTCCCGGGGTGGGGTCAGTAAGGCGCTGAGCCCACTCTATTGAAATTATGGTGCCGTCACTCTATCACTGGTAGTTTATCAAGTCAACTGCACCCATCTGTCCATCTTTTAATAGAGCTAGGTAAAGACTGGCGCGAGGGAAATCCACATCCGTCGTAGACTGGGTCCTATTGTTGTTACTTAGAAACGAGACACATACAAAATGGCGGACAACACATAGCCCTTGTATGCTGTGGCAAACTTTTGTCAATTATTCCTAGAGTCAAGTTTTTATTCTCGCGAATGTACCCCGAAGGAATAATAAATTAGTTCAAGAGGTAAAAGTAGCACTGAGAAAGCAATCGATCCCAACACAACGATGGAAACTACTTCTGATCATGAAGTGACGAACGAAATGACACCTAGGGCCGACAGCGAAGCACAGCACACTGAAAGTCGCACTGCTGTGGAATCGGAAACCAATGGACAGCAGGTTAATCCTGCTAAAGATACGAGCTTAGAAGAAGAAGAACCAGAAGATCAGGTAAAAATTACTTGATGTTCTCCTGGTGCATGAAAATTTACGTGCAGGTTGTTTTTTTGAAAACAATACATACGACTGGATAAGTTATATAAACTAAAAAACGTGCAAACCTCGTTACTTTAGAAATCGAAGCGTTTTCGACGAATGATGATGGAATTAAAACCATGTTGTAACTACATGTGTGATCATGTCATTGCCAAACACCACTTCGTTGACTTTTTACTGTTCACATTTCTACCTTTCGTAGGAGACAAATGAATTTGAAGAAATGATAGCTGATGGCTTATCACAGCTGGGAAGGTCTGCTGATGGAACACTTCAAGTTTACCTTCATCTGTTTTTACCGGTACAACAATTTTACAATTCCATCCATCACATGTAAAGAAAAAAATTTTAAGCCTTTGTAATGGAACTCAACTGTTAACTTTTTAACTCCCAAGATCTGCTTGTTTGTTCGAAATTCTCCTCACTAACTGTTACAAATTTTCTTGTAAATAAGTTACAAGAATTTTATATTAGATCAGGATAACTTCTACCTGATAAGTCTCAGTATTCTCATTACCTGTATGCTGGATAATGAGGGGATAGTACAAAGAGAAGTTATGTTTAAATCACTTCAGTGAGTCATAGTGGTACGTTGTAAATGCTTTTTCAAATGAATCCATAGAATATATTTGAAAATATGCAATTTCAAGATTTCCAACCAAAGTTGCATAGTGCTGAAGAGAAGCAATGCCATGTTACAGCTTTTTATGTTTTACTTGAGTGTTTTCTTCTCCTCAGGGATGTGGACTCACAGACATAACCTGCTTACAAGAGTATATCCATTTACAGAATGTTGTTCTTTCACACAATTCACTAACAGGTATGAATCAACTTTGAATTGCTTGTGGTGTGATTTGTTGATCCACAGTTAAGAAGTAAATGTGATATTTTAAATCAACAGATTTGAGTCCATTGGGTTGCATGCCTTACCTGGTATTCCTTGATGTTTCTCATAATGAGCTCACTACTGTTTTAGACTTCAAGCCTCCACTTGGTCTGAGGGTAAGAGACTGACAAGTAATGTATAGAAAAATTATGTTATTTACTTGGAAAATATGTTTTCATTTTCAAAACAATTTTTATTTAACAGTGAGTCTTAGCAGTGCACCATTTTTCTCCTCTAGGATGTAATTATGTCACATAACAAGATAGAAGTTCTTCCAGATTTGTCTGCTCATCACTGTCTTACAAGACTAACACTGGACTGTATCTTTGCTGTTACAATGAAACAAACAACCTTTGACTCTTGAACGGGAGACTTGAAAGGAAACGAGAAGAAAAAACAAGCTACCACATGTAAAGAGTTAAATTAAATGATCCAATGGAATTTCACGTTATCAGCTGCCATTGGGATAAAAAAAATCATGATTAATATTTTACCTTTGGGTGCCTGAAGAATTTTCTTTCTAGTAGGGAGACCCCACATAACTCTTATCATAAGTTCTTCAAAGTTATATAATTTAGTGCATCATTGACTTACTAGATAAGCATATAGTTCTCTTTTTGTGTTGTTGTTTTCCTTGATGTTTCATTCTACAGACAACAGCATATCAGAGATCCAGGGATTATCAAGTTGTCACCGTTTGACTCACTTGAGTCTGATGAACAACAACATATCCAGAATTGCTAATCTGGACAACCTGCCCCTCAAATCACTTGATTTGGTTGGTACACTTGTTATATACTACTACAAATTCAGATGATGTTCATGATGTTGTGTCAAAGTTATGGCAGAAATCCAAAAGTTAGGGTTGAGTGGCATAGAATTACATGTACAGTACAGCTCACATATATGTTAACTGTGCAGATGAATTTCATATGCATATACGCAGGGTAGTCAGAGGCATATATACATATGCATATGTACATACGCATATGTACTATCCTTTTCTTTGTTTTTCTTTAGAGTAACAACAACATAAAGAAAATTGAAAACCTGGAAACTCTCAAATATCTTGAGGTAAGAAATTTAACATAAGAATTGTAAAAGTTAAACAGATGATGACAAAGTTTTACATGTCAGTAGTGATTACTCTTAACCTGATGGGTTCAAGGGGTAAAATGGAGGGGTGGGGAGGGCGGGCAAAGCTTTTATTAGGACGGAGGGGAGATCATCTCACATTTTCCCACCATGGAAGAGTCTTCTACCATAAGCTGTTAATTGAGGGAACACATTTCTAGAGAATTGGATATATAATTGGGTGTTAATTTACAACTTACAATTTAAAAGCAAATCCAAGGAGTTACAGATAGATATATGAATACAGGGGTACATTTCTAAAGAAACTGTGGCTCTGCGTGGGTGGGAGAGTAATTTAACAGGGTAATATAGTATTATCAACTGAGTTTATTATGTAAAATGGTTACAGTAAAGAGATTAAAAGCTGACTTTTTGAGTGTTAGCACTTCACCAGAGCAATCAGAAACAGATGTTCTTGATATACTTAATATACTTGGAAACATATATACTTGGCTTACTCACTCAGCAAAATTGCAAAACTATCCTTGTCTTTTAACAGAAAATCAATTTATCCAGGAACAGTATTCGCAGCATGAAAGGTCTCCAGAATCACAATTTACTTCAAGAAATTGACCTTGAAGAAAATCAGGTTGGTAGGAACATAAGTCAAATTTTTATCATGTAATATATTTATGTGTGTCATTTCCTGGCCATGTGTGAGTCACATTGCAACCTAACTGAACCCTAACCTGTTTTGTTGCAATGAGAATTCAGTTTGTTTCTGATCCAACAGTTTCCAAGTAGATGTCAACTTGAAGATGTGTGAAGTCTTTCAAACTGTTTGCCAACATTTTCCTGCATATTTGTCTATCTTCAATCAGAATGACTAAGTTCCTATTTTGTGGGCATCAGCTGAGAGATTCTTCTCGATCTGTGTAGTGTTAGTGCACTTGACACCTTTCAAGGGAAATAATGACATCACAAGTGGAACTAAGACCATGATTGAACAGGTTTTTTTAGTCTTACAAGAGCTTGATCAAATTAACTAAAAGAATAAAACCTCTCCTTTGCACATGAATGTTTGGTGTCATTAGCCACTAGCTTACAGCTCTTAATCTTTTCACATTCAGGTGATTGATATTGCCGAAGTGCGATACATCAGAGAACTAAATTTATTACGGAATCTGAACTTGCTTGGAAATCCAATCCAAGGGATGCCAGACTACAGACTGTCTTTACTATTCAGAATACAAACTCTTACTGAACTGGATCGATCCAAAGTGTCACTTGAGGAAAAGGTAATGGAGTACAATGTAGCACAGCCATGAACTTAATGGCTCTAAATAGATTGTGTACTCAACTGTTTATATGTTACATGTATATTTTTACTCTGACCAAGGGCCGCTCTTTACCATGGCCAATGTGCATTGTCAATTCAATTGATTAAAACTTAACCATCTTGTAATAACCCCAACCAGCAGAGCACTACAGTTTCCCTTGACATGTATCTCCTTTGTTTGAAGGTTAACCTTCTGAATTTTCACAGTGATCAGCAGCTAATATCATGAGAATAATCAAAATGATGGCCAACTAAAGAAGCTCCTGATTATTAAACAAATTCTTCCTATCAGAATATATAGAGAATATTATGGAGAATATTCATACTGGTGTTGGGTGTAAGGGGTTAAGGTAAAAGGACAAGTCTAGCAGTTAGCCTGTGTACATTTACACTCCTGAGTGGAGAGATACACTGTAAGGGTTTAGTGTGACTGCCATGTCCCTCTTCCCCCAGCCAGGACTTCTAAATCCTGAGAGTTAAGTGTACCAAATATCAGGTCTTTGTGTTTTGCATTGCTTCAAAATGTTTTTGTATCCTTTTCATGTCTAATAAAAATTCCTTCCTTTAAATTTTTGCCTTGTTGGGGATTCAACAGGTTGCATCTGTGAATATGTTTAACCCCCCTCCAGAGGTCATTGCAGCACGTGATCACATGTTCCACGTGACAAAGTCTCTTCTCCAGCCGACAAGAATTCATGACAGGTAATTTAGGAAGCAGTATTTGTCTGATTAAAGCATCCAATACCGTGTTATTCTGTTTTCAGAATTCAATCTTTTCGTCTCATCACACGCATTGTTGCCTCATTACGCGCATTTCCTGAGTTCTAATTGACTGGTTGCGTATAATTCACTCGTATGTTACACCCACTTGCGTGTGTCTTTTATACGAGCATTTGCGTATAGTGACGTACAGTGTGCGCGTTTTGCGCATGTAGTGTGCTGGAATTGCATTCAAAATTCAACAATCCTCTGAAGGGGTCATGCCTCGGAGCATATCCTTAATAATTAGCGTCCTGTAAAAGTAAAATAATTGAAGCTAAAGCGTTGTTAATTGCACGCCAGGTTTGGAAATCTCTGCTTCTCAATAAAGTTGTGGTGTTGCACTCGATTCTCTGATATTCTGATAGCTTACGTGACAATTTCTACCAAATATTGACGTCAACACAACGTTTTGACATTAAGTAACGTCTCTTCTCCGATAGCACCCTGCCAAGTGTGGACACGCCCTATCCGATGCTGATCCTGTGTGGACCCCCCGGATCAGGAAAAAGATATTTGGCACGAAGATTATGTCAAGAGTTCCCTGACTTCTTTGGCTTCGGGTGAGATTTAAGACAAAATTCCGTACCTTCTTTTGTCACCCTCTCAGTGCTGTGATTCATCTTTGTTTTTCTTTTTCACTTCTCACAGTGTATGTCATACCACAAGATTGCCGCGGAAGAAGGAAGAAAATCTCGAGGACTACTGTTTTGTCACTCAAGAACAATTTGAACAAGGAGTTGTAATGGTAGGTTAAACAGTTGGTGCCATGTAACAATCAGGAACTATCATTATGTAATAAACAAAGAAGTCTTGGAAAGACGGAGAAAAACCACATCCAAAGGTATAGGACTCAGTCATGTCAGGTTTGTGTTTATCCGTAGGGTAAATTCCTACAAACGTGCCAACTGGCGGGGAACTGGTACGGTGTCACACGAGAGGCCGTGGAGAGTGTGGCCCGTGAGGGACTTGCTGCAGTGTTTTACATGGACTTAGAGGTTAGTTATTTCCCTGTAAGTTATTGAGTTTTGTTTCCTCTTGTGTGGCAATGTTAAAGAAAGCAATTGAGATCCTTTTTTATGTATAATTTCAGGGAGTTTTGAGTTTCAAGAACACTTATTTTGAGCCCAGATATGTTTTAGTGCTTCCTGTATCAAGAGAGGTAGGATATCTAAAAGATAATTGGTCGTATTTTCTAACTGTCACAATAATTATCAAGGATGTTTCACGAGACATGACGTCGAAACTAATTCAACTTTCCGAAACGTCTATCAGTCATTTTGCACACCGCCTAAGTATTAAATATTTTTTAAGTTCGGAACAGTGAAATTGTATTTGGATTTCAGATTCACGAAGCACGCCTTCGGGAGCGAGGTGATTACCCAGAACCTTTGCTGCTGCAGTCGTTGGAGCGAGCTACCTTATGCCTGGAACACAACAGAAAAAATCCCGGCTTCTTTGACATGGCTATCAACAGCGGTGAGGAATCGTCGATTTTTTATTTTTTTCCTTCGTGCTTATTAAGTTGAGGTGTAAAGCGTTAAATTAAAAAAATGTATTTTTCGGATCCCACACAAAGGTATTGATTTTAGGTTGTAATGTGAGGAAAGAATCATGATCGAGGACACTGGATTTTAACTCAAACCTGTCTTACGATTAACCAACAGAAGATCTTAGTGACGCTTACAAGCGACTTAAACTTCTTGTTATGGAATACCTTGGCATGTCACCACCATCCACAGTGCAGTCTGAATTGTTCAGCGAAAGCATGACGTCCGTTGAAACCAGCCAAACAGAGGACACTGTAAACCATGGGGCCAAATCAGGTACCAGTCAAACGACAAGTGTCACGGTCAACATGGCGGCGAGGACCTGGTCACGACGGTCTGACTCGTCGACTATTCCTCCCAAAGGAGTTAAATTAATAAAGCAAAAGACACCAGTGGTAAGTGGAGACTTCTGTTTTGTTATTGAAAATCGTTTAAGTATGTAAATGAACTTACTTCAAGAGGTTATCAAGACCCTTGTTGACCAATCGTTCTGTGGGTTGATTTGTTTGCCTTTTTCACAGGAAATTCTTTCGTTAGAGCGTCGCCAGAAACAGATAAAAGCAGCTGTAGCAGGAATTCATCAGATATCACTGGAACAGTTCATGATGGGCACAAGGTATGGTCAATGTACCAGTCAGGGTTAAACAAAATTTAATTGTGGGAGGCGCCAAGAGGTGAAGGAGTGGGGGGGTGGGGACGGGGAACAAAACGTCTCCCGTCTCTAAGTCACCTCGTCTGGGGTTTCCTTCCCCCCCCCTTCCCCTCTATCACCCCATGCTAAGAAGGCCTGATAACATTTAGTGTTTTGGGGAAAAAGTAGGGGGCACTGGGGAGAAACGAAGGTTTCCTTCAGTCCTTACACGATTATAAGACAAAAAACAAAGCGCAGGGTTAAGTTCAGAGTAGAATTATTACTTCACTGCATAAATTTAACTTGGTAGGATTTATGTAAGACAGTGAAATCGAAATTTAATATCTTGTGATATCAATTACTATCCAGGCAAGCAGTTTCGGCTACTTTCCAGCCCTCTTCAACGCAGTATTCTCCAACGGATGTCAAACGCCCGAACTCGGTCCCGCTTAATTTTAACGCTTCGCTTGCTTCTATGATGGCCAATGCGAGCAGCCAAAACGAGGCAAGAGATGGAGGCCTGGAATCGAACATCTCTGAGTCTGATGAGGAGCAGGACGGAACTTCATCTATAGTTTCATCTGCGCGTGCGTATTCCAACGATGACGCTCAGTCTCCAAAAGAGTCAGACGAAGAAGATGAAGACTCAAGAGATCTGCTTGATTTTATTCAAACAGAAACACTTGACTTGCATGATACCGGTTCTGTTCCGTTTTCGGGACTTTTTGGCCAAGTTGAAATCGCCAATTCTATTTAAAATGTGGCCGATTCTCTCCGGGAAAAAAAGGAAAACGAACCAGGTCAAAGACGCTATCTCCAAAACTAGAATTGGAAGAACTTTAAAACGTTTACATTGTAACATAGTTAACTTTTTAAGTTCGTTTTCACAGCGTGCTTAAGTATACACCAATTCCCTGTCGTTGTTCATATTTTTTGGAGAACTTTAGACGCAATTTTGTGGCCACTTACAATACAAACACCCTGTCATCAGCAGATTCTGAAAATGGTCTTTGTGAATTTAAACGAGTCGGTTTGTTTATATTTTGTAAATGAAGTGAAAATTAAAGGAACAAAAATTCTAGTTGGTGTTACTTTTTGCGATTAATTTGGACGTGTTTAATTCTGTTCCTCGTTGATGAGTGATTTATGCGATTGACATGAATATAAAATATGGTAAAACTGACTGCTGTGAAGATTACAGAAAGTTTTTGGCGACTCAAAATCGGTATGTTATTGTAATGGTATTTGAGTATTTGAAATTAAAGAAAGTCGGTATGAGAGGCTTAATTCTCAGACAAGGTTTAACTCATCGAAGCTTGAAACCATTTAAGCTTCGTAAGCTTTCCGTCCGAATTCGAACGGTTCTGTCTGATTTCGGACGGTTCTGTCCAATGAAGGACGGTTTTTCCAGATTACAGACGGATCCGTCCGATTTTCGATGGTTAAAGGTCAGTTTCGTTTGATTTCTGACCGTATCCAAGCAAAAAAGCCCCCTTGTGTTATTCCTCTCATGTTTTCCGGCAGTTCGTTTCAAGCAGTCAGCAATCGAAGAATGTAGAACCACTGGAACGACCGAGACGAGAGCTAACGAGATTTAATTCACTGAAATCCATAAGAAAATGATAACTTACACGTACAGCAAAAGGTTATATTTATTAGGAAGTCTAATGCATTATATAAATGGCACAAAAGTGGCAATTTCATCCCATAGCGTTCTCGATGAAGTTTTAGTCGTTAATAACTTTTTCTGTTTATACCTGAAATAACCAAGATATTTGACTTCATTCCAAGTCATCTTATCACACGAAGTCTTCATTGCTTTCGTCAGATTTTTCTTGATTTTAAATTCTTGAATCTCAACGTCTTGGTAATCTCCGTATTCTGTTGTAGAATCTAAACACTGGTCTCGCAAAGCAGCATTCTTTTTTCTTAATACAGAAATATCACGAAAGAAATCCGGAGTTTGGTTGCTGAGCTTTCGTAAAAACGAAACTTTGAAATAATCATATAGTGCTTTATCCGCACCGCTCCATTGTTCAATCTGGGTCACCAGCTCACTTGTTAGATTCCTTTTTTGAGTCTTTTTTCTTTGATTGTGATGGAAATAAACGACGTCCTCTATATCCCAGCAAAGAAGATTTTTCAACATGATCAGTGATTCATCAAAATACTCCATTAACATCACCAGGTGAAATTCTCGATCCAGTCGCTGGATATTTTGCCGAATCTCTTCCATGTTGTCAAAATCTTTTGATTCCAGACCCAAATCGAAGAACATTCCATTTCGAATAAGTTTCAATCGATCGCTGTTGATTCGTAAGTCTTGGGTGAGTATATAATTAACTAAAACATCCTTTGGGTTTTCAAAAAAGGCTTCTAAAGGGTCTGTTTCGTTCGAAATGCCCAGTATTTCTCCAAATGTCATGTAAGAGAAAGTTGACTCAAACTGAGCCACTGGATCCCGAAGAATAGTCACATATACAGTGTCTTTCGGCATGACTCGGTCCAAGACTGCTCGGTTATAACGCGAATGGCTGCAAAGTATGTTGGGCTTGATGTTGTTGTAGTGAATCATGTGATCTTCTTGAAAGAACCATGGCCAACCTAAACGATTTTGTTTCTCTATTGGAACAACAAATACAAGCTTGTTTCTTTCGCCAAAACGGTTGAAAACGTTCGTGATAGTGCTACTTCCTGTTTTATGAGTTTTGAGGAAAACCACATTTTTTTTTGGCTTGCAACTGCAAACAAAATAAAAACATTAATCCAAAATGAGCAGTTAGGTTTACATTAATATGTTTACGGCTTTGTTAAGCCTTTGAATACTTAGAATGATCAACCTTTAATTTCTCCCTACTATGATACCCTTTTATCATTCATTAAGGTCATGAGAATAAAGGACATGTTCGCTAACTCAAGAAGCTCTGATTATTAAACAAATTCTCCTTCTCAGTACCGAAGGAAATGTATAAAGAGGGGTATGGAGAATATGGATTCTGACATAAGGGCGCAGTATTTGCAATATTTTAGGGCAGCTTCCTTCCACAAAACTGCATCAAAAGTCTTGCGGTTATCGCTTTTAGTTTCCATTCACTTTAAAAGACCAAATGCTTCTTGATACTTGACAATAAAGTAGTTATTATTGATGCAAGTGCTCAAAATAGGTTGAGTGGAAAAGAGATCAGCAAGGTCATGCTCAAGATATTGAACGATCAATAGCTTTCAAGGCACATTCTGATGAAAGACCTCTTAAGAATTTTAGAACAAGATTGGTAAGCACGTGAGTAGAATTCATTTTTTTCAACTTATGGCCCTCAGAACAAATAGGTATCGAAAAAGGAAAATGTGAAAATTTAAATAGGTTTTATGAGGCTATGAACATCGAAGAACATAAATCTATGAATAGAAAGAATTACATTAAATGTGATTATTTTACATGATTGTGAAAGAATTTGGACAACTTATGGCCATTGAAGGCATGATCAAAATGGTCGATATCAAAATCATTTGTAAAAAACTCTCTCACGATTGCGTAGATAAGCGTTCTCATTATTCTTTTTCACTTTGATATCAATGTCGGCATTTGAAGAAGGCGGATGATATCAGGATTAAATCTGTTGTTACGACAGTGTAGTAACTCCCTTACGCTAATTTTAACATTTTACTTTAAATAAAGCAACACGCGCACGCACGACAATATCGCTGAAATGAGCTGTCAACACATAGATATTAATCACGTGTATTTGTTTTCGTTTGGATGTATAAATACACGACCTGTTATTTTTATTTAAAAATGCCACCACCTTGACTGACAAAGAGGAAGAGCAGCTTTTAGAAAAAACTTTTGATTCACTTACCGTTTAGTTTCCTCATGCTTTTCTTCTCTGTGACTCTCCCCTTGTTTGTTTTCAATCAGGTTTTTTCCGCGAAGAATGCCTTGCTCAGTACCGATTGCAAATGCTTCCTCCTTCACAGTTTCCCAGCTGTAATACTTAACGACAATAGCGCTTATGATGCAAATGGTAACAAGTGAGACGGTCACTGATTTAGGCAATCTCTTGCGTATCATGTCTGGCGAACTGAATCTAATGCTGTCAACTTTTTGACCGGCCCACTGACTTGTTCGCTTTCCGAGCGTGAAGACGCTGATCGAGAACTGCAGCTTTAAATCACCCGAGGCTACAAGCTGGAAATTGCACAATTCCTATTGCTAGGGAATCATAGCTGATTGTTAACACAAAGCTATAATTCGCTGCGTGAAATCCTTTGATCAATCCAAACGTCAGCATTTGTTTTTCGATTCAGGTAGTTCCCAAGCGTATGATATTGTAATATGCATTATCTTGACCGACACTCCACCGCTCTATAAACGCCCGCGTTCAATACAGTGCTTTTCAAGGTAATCAGTGAAGTCTTATTTTGTGTAAGTAATTCTTCCATTTGCAAACGCGCATGCGTGGTTAAAGACAAGAGCATTACAGGTTTAACACATTTACTTAAATGGGAGATCACCTGTAACACCTGTTAAATCACCCAATCACCAGCCACCTTGCTAATGCTGTTTGGATTACATGAGGTGTTTATATAGGTTTTTTCAAAAGAGTTTTTGTTTGAAAATTGCCGTAACGTTTACTTTACAAATTAAAGTAAATTGAAAAACGGAAGATGGATTTAACTTAGGATGATCAGCTAAATTATTAACAGCAAAGTTCCATTACCTAAGCGCGTGTATTTGTATAACGTGCAAGGCCGGGGTATCACCAGGTCGAAAAAAATTTAGACACGTTTCGTACTCTGCGATCAATTGTTCCTGATTCGAATTGAAAACACTCTCGAAAAGTCAAGTTAAGGTTAAGATGAATCACGTAAATATGTTGTATGCGACAGCCATTCTCATGTCTCAAGACTGTCGTGACAATGTCCTAAATCTTAGCCCGACACGAGACGCACGCCTCAATCTGTTAGCGAAATTCTTTTTTCCACGCCCTCGACGGCTGAATTTGATAAACATGACCGAACTTAAAATGAAGTCTTAGTTAAAATACTCGCCCGGGTGACATCTGAAGAATCTCAAAACCACGAGCAGTCCAGTTCCATCCATCGCCGATTTAATACAGGGACACACAAATATAACTCAGTCTGTGATACTCACTCAACAGACTGACAAGTGCCGCGGATGAACACTCTTAGATCGGGTTCATAGCGCTCGAAAAACATCGAAAGGTTCCATGTAGTTCTTCAGATTTTATCTTTATTATATAGGAAAGCGGGTGATGACCAATATCCTGTAATGTATGCAAATAGAGACCCTATGGATAATTTTTAGTGATGTATCCACCTCTTTACTCAGTAGATGCCGAGTAACCCACTTTCATTTCCTAAGACTTCGTTCGTCTTGATGTATTTGAAGTCGACGGTAGATCGCAGCGCTTTCTTTTAGAATACAGATGCTGTAAGTCTTTTCGTTATGTGTCAATATTTAAGTTTAAAGGTATTGAATTGAAGCAGGTCGGAGAAATCAAATCACTTTACGATTTTTCAAACTGGTTTGGATTTAACAAGCTCAATACCTAAACAACAACAGAGTCCGTTTTAATCGACCGTTCAAAATACTCTATAGATGCCGACAACGACTGGTAGGTAAAAACATATTTACTATCTCTATTTGATGCAGTTCAATAAAGTTTTCAATTTGTTCTGAAAAGAGTTTTCTTTTAATCATTCGTGAAATAATGAATAAACTTGTACTCTTAAAATAAGCGGTGACAAAAATATTTCCTCTTTGATACTGAGTTCTGCGAAGTAGTAGAAATAAATAAGAATTTATCTATCTCAATAAACTATTTTATTATCTATCTCGTTTTAGTTTTAGGCTACCAGGCTGATGTCTGTACTCGACGATGTTCAGGGATTGTCTCTGAAGTAGTCATCCATTTTTTAGAGTTCATCGGATATGGACTGTCTATTGACAAACCAAAATTGACAAAACTTGCCGCTGAATTAGCTCCACCCCTGCAAGAAAACCAAACAGTGCAATAGTTACCACACATTCTTAATGAGACACATGACAAAGAGAGATGA